TGCTGGGCGGACCCAAGCAGCTCGCTTTGCGCTTGGGTGGCTTCGTTTAAACACAAGAGTTTAATTGGGTTGTGAAATATACACACTTCGTGAAGATTGGCGAGAAACGAGGATACTGCGAAGGTATATGGAGAGGAAGTAGATGGTGAGGACATTTCTCGAGGTTCGTGGAAGAAGGGTTGTTGGTTATGTTAATTATTTTTGATATTTTTTCTATTTTTTCTTTTTCTGTTCTTTTAAATAATTTAAAATGTTTTTGTGATGATGATGATTTTAAGAATTTGGTTTCTTTTTTCAGTGATATTGGAACATTCTAATTTTTCATAAACAGATATATTCTTGTTAAGTATATACATTTTCTCTCTTGCTTTTTTGTAAAATTATTAACATAACAAATTAATGTAATATTACTATATTACATTAAATATAATAATCAGATAACTCTATGATTCTCCTTAAAAAGATTGATTCTTTGAACACACATACATCAAAGTCCAGATCATTTTGTAAAAGAAGAATAATAGAAATTTCCACTTCGATCACTGGATTCTGGAAAACCACTTCCAATCATTATTAATTTACACACTTCGATTGAAAATCAAATACCATTAACAAACCAGATCCAAACAGCAAACAAGATACTCGTGACTTATAATAAACAAACACTTCGTATCTCGTAATTGCCGCATAATTAATAACGAATATAAAAGAGAAAGAGAGGGAGAGAGAGAGAAAAAAGAAGAAACAGTACGTAAAGAGCGAGCATAAAAAATGCTCGATATTCTCGTCCATTCTGGCCTCTTCTTGCTAACCTTTCGCGTTGGCCCTCGGCGTCGTCGATGTCGGCATCGCAATCGTGAAGGCGACGTGGAAGTGTTGCCAGGGGAGGTACGTGTCTGGCGATATGGAAATAATTACCGGGGCGAGGCACGAATTAATTAAGAGATACGTAAGTAGCGTATATTACGCACGAGATGCAATTACGTCGTCTTTGAGTCCCGCAGCCAACGCCCCGGTTCCAGATATATATAAAACGAAGTGCAACCAGGATAGGCTTTGACACCGTTCGAGACATCAAATGAAGCTGGAATATCCCGCGTTTATCGACTTCTTATCGGGTTAGACGACGATGGCCATCGATAGCCAGGAAATTGTCGCGGTTGTTAACGGAGGAAGTCGAACGGATTGAGGGAGGAGAGTTAAAGAGAGAGAGGGGGA